CAGCTTCTTCAGTCAAGTGACTGGGTCTTTGAAGGCACTCAAAGCAAAGGGGACAACTGACCAGTGAGCTCTGTGCTGCCTGAGGTGACTGTTTATGACCCCCCAAAAGTGGAAATACCCTGAGTACCCACCTTTCAGTGAAGTTATGGCCAATCCAGTTCTGGTTAGAGACCACCTCCAGCCAGTTAAAATCAGAGTTAAGGACATTTAATCATCTGGGAAGAAACACACCTTACTGAGCAAAGAAGTCAGGGAACGAAGGGATGCATATTTACACGTGATCTTAATTTTTTATTATGCCCACAGAGAGAAAAGACTAGCAGGAAAATACCAGGATTAACGCAGGTTGATTTGAATTATGGGATTATTCAGTTTTTATTTCTTCTTCCTACTTTTCCTAAGTGTTCTGGGATGAATCAGTTTTTTATGTAATAATAAAATACACATGAAGGCATAAAAAAAGGAAACTTGCAGAAGTGCTAGGAGTCAAATTAGCAGATGCTGCATTAAATCCACTGAATTTATGTTTTAAAGCATCCCCATTTCATCTCCCTCTGGGTGACTACTGACTGTGTATTAGATCTGGTTGACAGCTCTGTACGTTTCAGGAGCATGTGCATGTGCACCACATCTCAAGGATGCCCATGCACTCTCCATATTTGTTGTGAGGACTTCATTGGAAGGAATTTTAGCCCCAAATTGAAGGATCTGACAATTCCTGGGGGAAAACTCAAAGCAATAGGGAATGGGAGCCCATAAACATATGCCCAAGAGTCTCATCCTTTGGAAGGAAAATTCTGGGTGGTATTCTGTTATCTCTTAAAGATCTTGGGGTAGTCTTATCCACATAACCTACTGCAGTGACCTCAGGAAGCCCTCTCCCTATCCCACTCACTCTTGCTTCCAAATAAATCACCTGCACTCATATTCTTGTCTTAGATCCTACTTTCAGAGTCACTGACACTAATTTAAGGGCTAGAAAATGCCATAAGGTTTTTTTCCCCCCAGTGATATGATCCTTACCATAACCAGCCCAAGACTTCTTCTTACTCATTTATTCACCCATTCGCCATTCAGGAAGGCTTACCCCTGTACATTTCAGAAATATCTAAGCATGTCAACCTGCAGCCACTCCAGGAAATGAAGAGGTAACATTGAGTGAAGCAGGTGTATTTTCTGCCCTTTAACAAGGTCTACTGTCATTGGGAAAGCCCAATTAATAAACCAATTACACAAATAAGCCTAACATAGGTACAAGGATTGGTCCCGTGGAGGAAAGGTTTAAAGCAATATGAGAACATAAGATAAAGAAATAACCTACTTTATGGACCTCAGATTGAAGGTGATGAGGAAAAATTAAATTATGTAAGTTACAGCTAAATGCCAAGAATGAATTGGTATTATAGAAATTAAGCGAGGTTAAGAGGAAGAAGGAAATATTACAGACTACCTTGAGCAAACGATCTTCAAATGGGTGAATCCTAACACATTAGAATAAAAAATCATAAGAAATAAAAAATTTAGCTCTGATTCCTGAATGTGTCACACTAAAATCAAACCTTTGTGAGATACTCAAAACACTACCTAATTAAAATAAATGGTTGACCTCCATTTTAATTGAGGAACATGGGTATCCTGGGATTTTCAGTGACAACTTACATGACATTGGGAAGGCAATTCCCAGCTCCAACTTCAAGTTGTTTGGTGTTCTGATTGGATTGAGTTAATGTGGATCATTTGGGGAGTTTACAGTCACATGGGGGGGAGACCCCAAAATACCAGCTTTAGAGTATTGTCAGTTCTCCCATCAGTTAGGTCATTCTGAGCATCTGCTAAATTCTGGTTTTTTCCATGTACATGTAACTTTCTTTAGACTATCAATTTAGTGAGACAGAGAAAAAATTTGTCTCAGAATAGAATAAATCCCATGCCTGATCCCCATCCATTGCTTAACTGTACTGGGCCCAATGAATAATGAGCTAAACCTCAAAGTCCAGGTTGACCATTTCCTCTCAATTTGAATACAGGAGAATACACTTATTATCTTGGATAATATTATTGGATAATGTAAACATTCAACATAATATATTGGATATTTATTATATTTGTTGTATCTTGGATTTGCTGTTACCTAAACTTCACTTCAAATTCCCTCAGTTGGGGGCGCCTGGGTGGCACAGTCAGTTAAGTGTCTGCCTTCGGCTCAGCTCATGATCTTGGGGTCCTGGGGTCAAGCCCCACATCGGGCTCCCTGCTCAGCCGCAAGTCTGTTTCTCCCTCTCCTTCTGCGATTTCTCTCACTCTCACTCTCTCTCAAATAAATAAATAAAAATTTTCAAAAATCCAAATTCAGTTGAAGGCTATTGGCCTTTGGACAGGGAAATTCTCTGCCTTAAAACTACTTTTATTTGCAAGGTGCTCATTGCATGCCCAATTTCAGGTTAGGTTGACAAGATGATCAATCAGAAGTTACAATAGAATTACCTAAAGGAAAATCTACGCAAGAATTTGCTCTGGAACTTCCTCATGCTTTCAAAGAAAAACAGTTTCAATTTTAGATCATCTTGTGGGTCTAGGAGATGAGTGGGGTTCAGTTTTCCACCAACTGGTTTGTTCTCTCCCTGTGTTATTTCCACACTCCACATGCACAACTTTTCCAAAGCCCTGAGCATCTCCAAGTTTCTGGAGGACAGATTGGCTCCCTTGTTTTCCATTTTATTCTGTGCATATGTTAGGTTGTACCTATTTCATTAGATTTATTACACACCCACTCTGCCCTTAGTCCCCAGGCAATATGGGTGCCAAGCCATCAGACATCTGGAATAGAATTTGGCAAGCCAGATATCAGATACACGTATCCAAAAACTCAAACTCTCTCCATCCCTAAACAGGGACTTGAAAATAGGTGACAGGGAGGGCATATTACTGTGGTTTGCCCCGAGACAAGGCTCCTCCAGAGAAAGAAGAGAGGGGAAGGGAGGACTGAGGTCAATAACATAGGTGATACAGGAGGTTGACAGGATGTTAGAGACCAGGTGCTCACTGCTGACTTGGTTGATCTCTGTTCTGGCCTCTCTCTTTCTCTCTGTCTCTCTCTCCCCTTCTTCCCCAACTCTTCAGATATACATATAGATAATTTACCTCCATTATGGATGTGCTTCTCTTTCTCCTCCCCTCAGAAGAGGTGGAGTCAATGCCTCCCTCTGCTCCCTACTTCCTCTCTCATATCATAAGCCAATGACAGAATCAGCTGAGAAACCTCAAGAACTCCTAAGCACGTCCCTGAGATCTTTATTTTTTTTAAGATTTTATTTATTGATTGATAGAGACACAGCGAGAAAGGAAACACAAGCAGGAGGGATGGAAGAGGGAGAAGCAGGCTTCCCGCCGAGCAGGGAGCCCAATGCAGGGCTCGATCCCAGGACCCTGGGATCATGACCTGAGCCGAAGGCAGACGCTTAACGACTGAGCCACCCAGGTGCCCCTCCCTGAGATCTTTATATCAGATGTAGAGTTCTCTTGGATTCAGAGATTTTGTTCACATTTTGAGGATTTATTTTTTTAAGATTCCATCTATCTATGAGAGAGAGAGAGAGAGAGAGAGAGAGAGAGAGAGAGAGAGAGAGACTGACAGCACAAGTGGGTGGAGGGGCAGAGGCAGAAGGTGAAGCAGATTCCCCACTGCACAGGGAGCCCAATGCAGGGCTCCATCCTAGGACCCTGGGATCATGATCTGAGCCAAATCCAGGCACTTAACCAATTGAGCCACCCAGGCCCCACATTTTAAGGATATAGTGTGCAGATTACTGATTCCGAGTGTGGCCTCACAGGATTCTGGAGCTTCACCAGTGTATGCAGGAATGATTTGTTAGCTGAGAAATATCCTCCATGTTGGAAACAACAAAGTATCTCTTATGCTCCAAGTTGAGGCAGTGGACAGTGCTCTTGATCTTTGAATTTTCAAATTCTCCAGTTGAGCTTGGCCCATTACCTGTGTCCATGAGCATCTGAGCTTCTCAGTGCACTGCCAAGGCTCCTTTGGCCAACTCCAGAACTAATGTGTTTCTCTCCTTTATCCCACACACTGTGGCTACACTAAAATGTTTGCATGTCCCTTACCCTTGATGTTACTGCATCAACTTAAATCCTTGCACACATGACCACTGTGTAATATTGACCATTCCCATAAGAGTTAAAAAGTGACAAGTCCACCCCATACAAGGCCACCCCATTTGGTGTTAAGGTCCAACCAGGGTACTGGATTCCTCTCTAGACCAGAGCCTGGGTTGAGGTTTCAGATAATCTGCTATTTCCCACATGGTTTCCAGTAGTAATGTCCATTGTGAAAATACCCCGCTGTTGTGCCCTCTCTACAGGTGACCATCACTGTGATTTTAAATTAATCATTTCATCCCTTTTCATGGTTTTTGCACCTTTTATGACTCCTACATAATTTATGTTGTGTCTTGTTAATAATGCAATAGTATCGCATGCATCCTTTTTGGCTTTCTTCTTTCACTCATCATTGTATTTATAAGATCAATCTGTATTTATTATGTTTCTAATCCTAGTTTGTGCATTTTAACTGTTGTATTATATTCCATTGTATAAAAGTAACACAAAATACTCATTCATTCTTCAGTTGGTGGAATTTTGTTATTTATAGTTTTTGGCCTATGGGAGCAATGCTTCTCCTCTGACTCTTGTGCCTATATCCTCGGGTATATGTGCACGGGGTTCCCCAGGGCAAACTTCTAGGTGTCAGACTGCCTGATCATAGCTGCATATCTTTTCCCCTCAGCCAGAAAATCCACACTACCCCCTACCAAACTGGTTGGAGCAATTTGCACACCTACCGGCAGTATGTGAAATGCTACCTACTCTCCAGCAATGCTTTGAAATCAAAACAAACAAATATCTCTCTATCATCTTGGAATTCACAGTCTCATTTAATTAGCACCACAACCCTGAAGGAGCAATCATCACTACCAGTCACACAGGAAAGCACCAGAGGCTCACGCAGAAGAGTGCTGATTCCAGGAGCTGATGCTGGGGGAGGAGCCGTGCAGTAAGCACCTGGTGAAGAGAGAGAAGCCTGCAGAATCCAGACAAGGTGTTGGGATGTCATTCTGGGCTTGCACCTTCCAGGCTGGATATAAATTTCAGTCCGTCAAAGCAGTTACTCAACCACATTACTTGAGTCTCTGCACTTAGAGCTGGAGGGACAGACTGGAAACTCCCATCAGGGAGCGTGCATGTGACAAAAAGAAATCTGTGATACACAGTGTTGGAACAGAACAAAAAAGTGAGTGGAGTTATGGGCACAAATGTTTCATGTGGATGAAACTTCATGTCATCAGGGTGGGGGAATAAGAGAAGCCAGACACTAAGGAGGCAGTAAGGCAAGGGGCAAGGTTCATGGTGGAGGAGCCTCCTCCAGGGAGCATTCCCAGCCTTGGTCCTTGCCTCCTGCACAGACAACACTGCTTCATTGCCTTTAGGTCTTCAGCACAGAGTTCATGCAGTTCATGAACCTGTTTAGAATCTTCTGTGACATTGCAACCTTGTGTGTGTGTGTGATTCTGTTCTAAGGTTCTACAAACCCCAAAGAGTGTGTGCAGCATCATCTTCAGTTTACCTCTTGGTTTCACCTTGGGCACTTCTCTGGCTGTGCCATGCCTGAAACACCAACACTGCTAGCACCACCAGGACCAGGGCAGACAGACCCATTCGGATGAGATTCTCCAGTGTGTGATCTGGAAGTGGGACTAGGGACAATGGGACAGAGAGGTCATGCAGGGCAGGACAGGTCACGCCTACCACGGCACCCAGAGGGGAGGTCTAGGTCTCTCCTCCCCTTGAACAGGTCATATGCACCGCAGGCTGACTGTGTTCTGTTACTCACCGCTCGTGGAGTCTGATGGGGTGATAGTAACAGGAGCCCCTGAGAGTCAGGAATGCAGAGCAGATGAGTAGCTGGGGATATCTCAGCCCAGTGTTCCCCTGAGGATCTGAATTATCAAATCTCCCTTCTCCTGTCCCAAGGAAGGACCTCAGCTTTCACAGTGACCCCTCCTGCAGCTGTAGGTGAGGCACAAACCCTCTTGTCTCCAATTCCTTTGCATTTCGACTTTGCTTTGGAGTCTTAATGACAAAAAAGGATTCAGCCACACCCTATGCCATGAGCTGACAGTGCACCAGTTTGGAAATCCCTCACACCTAGATCTTTCTTGCTCTCTCATCAGACTGAGCAATAGCCCACACTGAGCTTAATTTCCTGGGGAGGAGCGTCCTGAGTTAATTCTCAGCTGAGAATCCTGGATTCATGGATGAGCGGTGGGTGCCCAGGGATTCCTGAGGGTCAGAAACACAAAGGGCTGGGCACCCAGGGCTACCAGTCTCTGCTCAGCCTTGGCCCATTCAGTTTCATCCGGCATCTGTGTTAAGAACTTTCAAATGATTTTCTTTTGCTATTTCATCCATCCATCCATCCATTCATTCATTCATTCGCTATTGAGCCAATAGTTATGGACTATCTGAAAATATAAATAGATGTATTTATATACATATGTGGGTATTTATGTACATTATCTACACATATGATATATAAGATATATCTATATATAAATGTATAAAATCACATACTATAAATTCATACAATATACATATTATATAATGTATTTTATGTGCTACATATATCTGTATATAGAGAGAGACATATGTGGTGAGACGTTTATATGTATACAATACACAAGAGTATGTGTACCAGCATGTGCATGTGTGTCTTGGTGAAGGTAATAAAGAATAATCAATGTTCTTATTAAGAAGAAAAATGTGGAGTGCCTGACTCCAGCATCTGACTCTTGATCTCAGGGTTGTGGGATTGAGCCCTGCATTAGGCTCCACACCCAATGAAGAAGAAGAAGGAGGAGGGGAGGAGGAGGAGGAGGAGGAGGAGGAGGAGGAGGAAGAAGAAGAAGAAGAAGAGGAAGAGGAAGAGGAAGAGGAAGAGGAAGAGGAAGAAGAAGAAGAAGAAGAAGAAGAAGAAGAAGAAGAAGGAGGAGGAGGAGGAGGAGGAGGAGGAGGAGGAGGAAAATGTGTATCAGCTAAGATGGAGCTATAAATAGAAAAGTCTGTAATACATTTAGGACTGATTAAACATTTTTTTCAAAATTATAAAAGGTGTTAATTGGGTATTTGTATAGGGTCACCAGCCAAGGTGTCATTTGGGAGAGGATTTTAAGTCAAAACTGGAGAGTGGCAAACAGTGAGGCATAGGAAGAGAGAGTGTCAGTATTTACCACACAATGAATGACCACATCCTTTGCCTAAGCTGTTCTATTCTAAGAATTTAACCAAGAGATGAGGGGTAATTGCTTCCACACACCCCTGTGCATTAGGTATGTGCAAAGATATTCATCAGAGGATAATCTGTATTATGGAAAGTCTGGGAATAAACAAATTGCCAATGCCAAATTATAGGGTACTGCATACATATATCCTGACACTTTCAAGCAAGAAACAACTATGCAACCCTTAAAAAGTCTAAAAGAGATTTGTGTTACTGATACCAGATAATTCTTTAGAATGTATTTAATTTTTTAAAAATAGAGCTGATCAGAACTGTGTCTATAAGATGTTGATGTTTGTCCACCCATGGAAGACATGTTTGTAGGTTCTCCCTGAATGTTCAGGGGGGAAAAAGTAGGTGAGTGTGGTCGGGTTGGTTTTGGGGGATTGAGCAAGGGGTAGCAGAGATTGAGAGGTAACTACTCTTCTTGTATCCCATTTGTGAACAGTTTCTGGGATGGACCATGTCAATGCATTCCTGTTAAAGAAGTAGATACGAGCGCTGTGAATTGTGCAAGACTGTTGAATCACAGATCTGTACTTCTGAAACAAATAACGCAACATATTTTAAGAAAAAAGAAAAAGAAGAAGATAACAGGAGAGGAAGAATGAAGGGGAGTAAGTCAGAGGGAGAGAGAAACCATGAGAGATGATGGACTCTGAAAAACAAACTGAGGGTTCTAGAGGGGAGGAGGGTAGGGGGATGGGTTAGCCTGGTGATGGGTACTAAAGAGGGCACATTCTGCGTGGAGCACTGGGTGTTATGAACAAACAATGAATCATGGAACACTACACCAAAACAAATGATGTAATATATGGTGATTAACATAACAATAAAAAAATTAAAAAAAAAGAAGTAGATAAAAGCAAGTCTTCTGGCTTTTTCAGAGACGCTGCATTTCACACGTGGGTCAGGGCCCAGTGGGAGGTGTGGAGCAGAGGAGGGAAGGACAAGGTGCATCCAGAGAAGTGGCTGCTGTGGGGTCATCCAGACACTAGACAGATGGGATGGGGAAGAAGACATTCGCACAGCCCCTCACCTGTGACCATGAGCTTCCGGGGGTCGCTGGGGTGTGACAGCAGGAAAGGGGTGCTGCTGAGTGACCCGTAGCACCTGTAAGTCCCCCCGTGGTCCAGCGTCGCAGGGCGCAAGTCAAAGTTCGCCTGAAATTCCTCATCTTGGTGCTGAGATCTGAGGTGCAGGGCGGGGGCCGGCTTCCCCCTCCTTGGACAGAAGGAACGCATCAAACAAGCTGGGGCTCTGACACCGCAGGGTCACATTCTCTCCTGGGGCCACAGAGGGCCCCGGCTTGGCAGAATTGTGGGAGTTGGCCCCTGTGGGGGCAGGGCTGGGAGGGAGAGTCCAGGGTGTTAGGGGCGGCTCCACCCTCTTGCCCCTGCCCTGAGCTGAGCGGAGCTGTCACTCAGGCGCTCCATCCAAGCGCGCTGCTGGCTTCTTCTGTTCCCACTTTTCTTAAGATTGCACTTTATAAGGTTTGATAGGTAAATAAAGAATGTCACTTTTTAATTTAACTGATAAGGTTTTTGCTATTTCGTTATTTGCGATTTTGATGAGTAAACCAAAGAATATTTGCATTCTGAAAAAAACAAGATTGCCCTTTCCTGTCCTGGCATCTCTTGGCCTGTGCTCCCTGCCCCCACTTCCAACAAGACCCTGAAACGCCAGTCCAAGAAAAGTGGGAGTGTGAGCTGGGATATGACTCCTCACCTGCGACCAGGATGTCCCTGGGGTCACTGGGGGCCGACCACTCGGAGGAGAGGTTCTGTCCACCATAGCATGTGTACCGGCCCCCGTAGGAGGGTCTCACAGGGTCCAGGTCGAAGTTCGCCCCAGAGAGCCCAGCGTGGGGCTGCCGGCCAAGGCGCCGGGGAGGGTCACCTGCTCCCTCCTCGGACAGAGCGAATCTGTCGTAGCCAACATCAGAGCGACACTGGAGGGTCAGGCTCTGTCCAGGAGCAACCACCGGCCCTGACAAGACTGACAGGGATGGTTTCCTAGACACCTGGGAGAAAAGGTGGTTCTGGTTTCCAAGAGG